CTCTCTCTCTCTCTCTCTCTCTCTCTCTCTCTCTCTCTCTCTCCCCGTCTGTGTGTGTGTGTGTGTGTGTGTGTGTGTGTGTGTGCGCGCCTGTGTGCGAGCTTGTGCGCGTGTGATCTCCCCGGTTCGGCACTGTGCCTGGTTGTCCTGCATCGACTTCGTTCTGATCTGCCGTCATATGTAGCTGCTCACCTCTACGAATTCATCTGATTGCTATGTGTCGCTGGACACGTGGATTGGCCTGAGAACACAATCTTCTCTCTCTCTCTCGCTCGCTCTCTCTCTCTCACACACACACACACACATATGCACAAGGCCGTCCGGATGTGTCGTGTCATCTACTTGTTCATTCCAATCGTTGTCGCAGATCTATTCTCCGGTCCAGATGTGTGTGAGGTTGAGGACATGCAAATCCGCCTGTGGATGTAGAGCCGTAACGACCTGTCAATCCATCATACAATTTTCCGCTAATATCGCACTCAACTTCCCCAGCCCTATATCCGGGGTGTAGTCCAGTGAGCTGAGATGAAATTCAACGTTGACAGACACAGAGACACTAAAAGGGGGAAAGAAAAAAGGAGGAGACAAGGCCAGCGATAGTCGAAGAAAAAACACAGAAGTTTGAACATTACAGCACAACTCCTACAGCCCAGTGCCCGTGAGTCAAACACCAGAATTGCGGAGTTGTTTGATTTGAGAGAAGAATATAGCGTCGTTAAAAAAGAAAAGAAAAGAAAAAGAAAGAGACATAGTCTCAGACATGTTGAAAGCGGGGGGAAGGGGGGGGGGAAGGGGAGGAAAACCGAGAGAGAGCGGCATGGATGCCAAAAAGGGGCAGAGAAGAAGGAGAAGACAAGGGCGACCCAGACGGGCCCAGCTCAGTTGGTGAACCCACGAGCCGTTGAAAGACAGACCCAATTTCGAGTCCAGATACAATCAGATGATGACAGCAACCAAACTTTTTTTTTTTTTTTTTTTTTTTTTTTTTTTTTGTTGGACTTTTCTGGGGCCGGGCAGTTCAACGAGGATATCTCACGGCCATCGCCCTTAGAAGAAAAAAAAGAGGGAAAAAGAAGAAGAAGAAGAAGAAGACAAGGGCGACAACACTCGCGCGACGAGATGAGCAGGTCACGAAAGGGATAGGCGAGAGATCATAATCCAACGAACCAGCTTAACACGAAGCTGCGCTGTGTTTCTGCCAAGTCCCCCCAGTGCCAGCCTCCGATAGCGGTCTTCTTCTCCTCCTGCCGCCCGGGAAAAAAATGGTGGAAAAATACGCCATGCCGAACGGTGCCCTAGATGGCCAATGCAATAGCGAGGGTGAAGTCGTACCCTAGCAATTGCTACAGCACAGCCCTCGTCAGAAGTTTCCAATGTCCCAAAAGGACACAGAAGCCCCAGAAGCCCCAGAAGTCCCACAAGTCCCACAAGTCCCTATCGGCTGCTCCTTACAATTGTAATCGCTCGACGTGCAACTGACAGTAGCAGACTGAGTGTAATGGCCGAGCAGTTCATCACAGTTCGCGTCCGGTGCTACACCCCTCCCCTCTCGCTTCTAGCGTTCTCCACCCCTCTCCCTTTTCCCTTTTTTCTTTTATTATCCCTCTCCCTTTGCCTGTTAGTGAAACGAATGTCCGCGTCCAAAAAAAAAAAAAAAAAAAAAACGAATGTCCGTGTCCGTGTCCGAGTTTCCTGACACTCGACTACAAAAGCAATACCACTGAAAACGGTCAAGCCCTCGTTCCTATAATTGACGTCGTAAGCAGGTTCTGTCGAAGCCGCGGAGAGAGGAAAGAAAACCAGAGAAGAATACCAAATAAACGACGAAGAAAAGTGGGAGTAGACGAAGAAGAAAACTGGTAGTAGAAGAAGAAGAAGAAGAAGAAGAAGAAGAAGAAGAAGAAGAAGAAGAAGAAAGAAGAAGAAGAAGAAGAAGAAGAAGAAGAAGAAAGAGGAAGTAGAGTAAAGAACGACGGGCGGAGGAGGAGAAATTTTTAAAAAGATGAATTCAAATATGCTCGTGGAAGCACCACCTATCAAGCTATAGGTCAATTGTGAAAAGGACGGGTCAGTATCTATCGGTTAATCATAGCCCATAGCCAAACAACAGGCGCCACCCGTGAACAGTTGGGCCTGCCAAATACAAAGAGGTCCTTGCGCCGGCGGGGATTTATAACTTTCCCCTAAACAGAGACCTAAGGCTCCAGAGCTATTTTAATTTTTTTTGTACCCGTTTGTGCTTCACCTTTGTGTGAGGTCCTGAGGACTTGATGACGGGGCTTAAACAATTCGCTCTCGGTCCCACTGACCAGCTAACGGGGAAAGCGTGAGACCTCGGAATCAAGTCACAATTGGTTAGGACAAAGTCGTGACCAATTCAGCCCCGTGCCAACTTGTGAAGCACAACTCGTAGGGGCATTTTGGCATATATGTCTAAACTTATGGGGATGTTTGCAAATTATCCCATTTCAATAATTAGTAGGGTTAATTGCAAAAATATTGCTTTTTCCAAGTTTGGCAGCAAAAATGTTGTTGGTTCGAAGTTTCCTTTGCAAAAATAGAGGTTTCGTTGCAACTTCACCGGGGGCGAGGTCCCACTTGCACGGATTAAGAGATTCTGGCCGTTCGTCTTTGCTATCTACGGTCAATATAGCTTAATTCGTGTAAGTGGGACCTAGCACCGGGAACCCATAGTTTGCAAGCAAAAATGTCGCGTTTTGCCAAGTTTCACAGCAAGAGACCCGTAGGACTCTGGCCTCAGGTACTCAGGCACTCAGCGTTCGGGCCTCAGGTACTCAGGGCAGCGTTTTTTTTTTTTTTTTTTTTCGGGCGCGGGCATTGCCGAGGCATCTCGGCCGTGGCCACGCCCGAGATGCCTCGGCCACAACGGAAATTTAAAAGAAAACAAAAGCACCTCAACTCGTGGCTGTGCCACGGCCGCTATGCCTCGGCCACGCCCGTGCACAAAAAAAAAAAAAAAAAAAAAAAAACGCTGACCCTGAGTACCTGAGGCCCGAACGCTGAGTGTCTGAGTGCCTGAGTACCTGAGGCCAGAGGCCTACGGGTCCCTTGCTGTGAAAGTTGGCAAAACGCCACAATTTTGCTGGCAAATGACGGGTTCCCTGTAAAGTTGCAACGAACCGACAACATTTTTGTTGCCAAACTTGGAAAAAGCAATATTTTTGCAATTAACCCTAATTAGTATACATAATGAGAGTGAATTTATTTAATTTGAAAATACGGCAATTGTGAACCTATATATGCGGATCAACTGCGTCACCTCGGAAATTCAAAGCCCTTACTGTTATAGAGACGACAGCCCGGCTAGACTGTAGTAGACTTAAACTCCAAGCAACATTGAGCCAAGTGAGAAACATACGAGGCCATTCATTCAGAGAAAGGGTGAGATGAAAAAGACAAGACAAGACTGAGACAGAAAGGAAGACGAGAGGAATATAGCAAAGTCCCCCGAGCGCGTTCAGCTCGTAAAAAGTTCAATAATAGCTGAAAACAGTGAAGATGATGACGTAAAGGCCATAAAGGCACAAAACGCCATAGCGTGCTGCTCAGTCTGGCGATCACCCTACGCATTTCGGCCGGTCCGCCAGTGTACCGCCCATCATCAGGGGTGGCGCTTTGGAAGTAGAACTGAAAAAACTTTCCTAAATAGTAGTCACCTACGTACTAAAGCAGAGCACATCGGACGCGTAGCCCGTTAAAACTCAGCCCACCAGGCAAAAGACCAAAGGCCTATAAAAAGATGGACCCCGAATAGAAAAATAAAGCCTAAACTATCCAACCCGTGAAACATCGGACCCAACCAGACCAAACCCCTCCTATTTTGATATTGAAGGCCTCRAGTGCCTTGTCAAAGATACTGTCCGGAAAATCCCTGGCCTGAAGTTCCATTTTGAGGCTGAAAAGGAAGGCCGCCTCTGTGGCCGGCAGTGTGCCCATGTTATATGCCCCGTGAAAAAAGGAAGACACAATTGCGATCTTCTGTTGCTTACTACTAAATGAATGAAAATTTTGCAGGTTCTGAAAAATGATGCCATTCCCTTCCAGGATGCATTGCTGGTTCTTGTGCAGTGCCTGACAGTACACTTTCACCGGATGCGTTCCCACCAATATCCGGCAGCCCAAATAGGGCCATTGAGGCCCATTATTAGTTTCTTCCAAAGTCAAATGCTTATCATAGCAATGATTCTGGAACCTCAAAAGAATGTCCTCGGCCTTGGCCTTAGAGGCAGTATTATTTAAACAGTATTTGACAAAAATGGACACGTCATCGATAAGACGGCAGCCCTTGATCAACGGGAGTCGTTCCCCAGTCCCTTGAGGAAGGTATATTCGTTATGTACACACATCAGACAGGCTAACGCTGGGCTTGAAGACTTGCCCGTAGGGATTCCTAGATTCTGCCTGAGAACAACTCCTCCCGCCATAGTGAACGTATTATCTAAGTCAAATTGAATAAACCTAACCAACACAGAAAACCTGACAGATTTAAACCCAACCCCACTAACAGCAACCTTAGATAGCCTGACCAATTTCTTCCGTGGGTGTACCAAACACATATAATATCCCTTTGCCTCGAACACGCTAATGGCCCAGTCGACCGCTGCTATGATAGCAGAGTGGGGAAGCTGGCAGAACATCTCCTTGACGTCAAAACTTCCTGCCAGCAGACCCTCATCAGTGCCAATATCCTTGTTAACCTTCCCTAAAAATAACGGCAGAAGATCCGTACTATGTAGATTAAAATGACTGCAAGCTGGAACGTAATCGGTCGATCCATTCCCTCGTGTGAGATGTAGATTAAAATGACTGCAAGCTGGAACGTAATCGGTCGATCCATTCCCTCGTGTGAGATCTGTCCCATGATCGCTGATCGTGGCTTAGATGTCCTTGCAACCGTCCGTCATATGGCGAGAAGCACGACCTGCAAAA